AACTCACATCAAGGCCCCCCTTCTCCTAACTCTGGTCTTGCGTATAGTTTCACTCCCACTAAGGCAAGGGTCAACCCTAATTTAGAGTCACCTTCTAGACCCTAGCCCTTGGCCACTGACTCACCCAGAGCAGAGCCTCACCTGGAGGACATGGGGAACGCAAGTAGAACCACACATGAGGCTGCAGACACCAGACTGTGGAACCCCACATGAATTGGTATTAAAGGGGCTCCTCCGGCTGCAGACAACCAGACAGTGGGACTTTTGTACTTAAGGTCACCTTATCCTTCAGCATCGAAAGGCCCATGCCTTAACCTCTGTTCCAGGTGCAAGTGAAAGAGGGGTATGTCCTAGTTCAGTCCTTGAGCCTGGCCAAGTTGACCCACCCTGGGCAGCAGAGGACACCTGGCAGGAGGGACCTGCCCTGCATATAGTGACCATGCATTCCCACAGCCATCTCTGCCATCCTCAGCGGCTTCCCTCAGCCTCCCCATCGTATGTAGCCAGCACACTGCTGAACTTGCCTTATCTAAATTCTACAACAGGGGTGGGGAACCGTTTTTCTGCCAAAGGCCATTTGAATATTTATAACATCATTGGCAGGCCATACAAAATTATCAACTGAAAAATTAGCCTACTATATTTGATCAAACATTTCATTGACTCATCCCCTAATATGATGGCTGGAGTCCTCGTTTGGCACTGTGGGTTAATGTGCTGGACTGCAAGGTCAATTTAAACCACAAGGTTGGCAGTTCAAACTCACCAGCCACTCCTTGGAAACCCTATACAGGGTCGCTATGAGTCGGAACTGACGCAATGGCACTTAATTACTACAATATGATGGCTAGAGTCCTGGTGTGGCACTGTGGGATAATGCGCTGGACTGCAAATTTGTTGGAACCTTAAGGTCGGCAGTTCAAGCTCAACAGCTGCTCCTCAAAAACCCTATACAGGGTCGCAATGAGTCAGAACCAACTTGACAGCACTTAACAACAACAATGTGATGGCTCGAACTGCAGTTGTCTTGGCAGGGCCAGACCAAATGCTGTCTCTCACCCCTGCTCTACAACAGTCATCTAAGACAAGCAGTTATAATTGTGCCCATTTTACAGAAGAGAACATCGAGGTTGCAGAGCCAAAGGCTTTCACTCATCTACTTTATACTCAGCTGGCAAAATCAGGAGCCTGGGCGTCTCTGACTGCTAACAGCAACCATCAGGGCGCTCAGGACACCCCCATGTGTGTCAGAGTAGAGCTGTCCTTCAGAGGGTTTTCAGTGGCTGATTTTCCAGACCTTTCTTCTGAGGGGCCCTTGGATGGACTCCAGCTTCTAACCTTGAGGTTAGCTTCACTACTCAGGGGCCTGGTACCATTAACCATGCTGATCGCCTGGTGGGCGCAGAGCCCCGTAAGCCTCCTAGGG